TGTTTTTTGACTAGTTGTGATAGTTCATATTCTGTATATAAAGATCTTAATTTTTTCCATATTGTTCTTACCTTTTTATCTATCTTAGTTCTTTTTATTTTAGTATTTTTATTTTTATTCATCATAACCTTTTATATAATATTTTAAAAAGTTTGCTTAATTTATCTGGATATCTAATCTTTTTTAACCTGTAATTTCTACCATATCGCCTTAGCCAATATTCAGTCATATTTAATCTCCAATATCTAAATCATCATATAAATCATACATATCATAATAAATCTCATCTTGTATACTTTGTATGGTTAACTTAGTCCAACCTTGGGTTGTTATTTCTATTATCTCATATGTTAATAATTTTTCATAAATTTCTCTTTTTATATCAATGTTCAGGTTTTTTTAGTATGTAGAGTAATAATACCTTATAATCAACATCATACCCTTCATGAAAGTCTTTACCATCTTTTCTCAATATTTCTCAAAATCGTCATGAATAAGCATAATAAGGCAGTTTCTATCCATAATACAATATAAAGAAATACAACTATAACATCATCTAAACATATACATTTAACCCATTCTTTAAGTCAAAAGATGATAATATGCTTATGCATGGGTTCATTGGTGTTTTGACCATAAAATCATCAGCCAAACATTGAAAATAACATATTTCAATCATTAAAATGTTTTCAGTCAAAGACCCATGCTTAGAATAAAAAATAGAAGAATTTGATGTTTGAAACCCTTTTTGAAAATTCTTTGGAAGGTCTCCTTGAATGAAAGAAGATTAAAGGATGAACTACCATACCTCTATATGAAGAAACCCACTAGATTTGGCGAAGAAACTGAAGAATTGACTTTCTTTGTTGGATATTGAAGTTTCTTTAAAATGGAGGGTTTTGGAAATATTTTGTTTAAAAGTTGGGGGTTTTGAATTGGTGGAGGAAATAGGGTTTAAAGTGACCTAAAACCGTCCACAAATAATCCCCAAAGTTTCCAAAAGACCCCCACATTAATTGGACCCTTTTCCAAAGTATAATTTCACTTTACAACGACCCGACCAAATCGAGGAAGTGGCTGCTATCGCGGAGAGAACTCCTAAGTTTTCCTCTCAATATTTTTGAGGCAATGATCTTCGGTCCAATCACGCGATGCACAGGCAGATTGAGTTCCATGTGCGCAACACGAGGTTGCCTCCACATTTTGGTGGTGCACGCTGCCTTTTGTAGCTTCCTTGTCCAACATTTGGGTCCTCCTCTGGGGCCCTTAGGATGGTCCCAAGGAAGTCGTACTCAAATGTTTTGACCTTTGGTAAATCCCTATAGGTTCTAAGGCCATCTCCACCGATTTAGACTCCAAAAAACACCTAAATATGCACAACAACTAAGGACACACTAGCGTACATAAAAGACTAGTTTACGAATGTTTTGTTTGTTCTTTGACGTTCGACTTCCAAACTTACCTCAAATGCTAAAATTCATTTTTTTAATTCATTACTAACTCATGAAACATATGCAAAGATCTACTTTGACCTAATTCATTTTTAGGGTCGTTACAATCTCCCCCACTTAGAAAGATTGTCGTCCTTGAATGACATTAAACACCTTCAAGGACTAAAAGACTCAACTAGATACTCACAACACATATAGTCATGGAAATAATCATTCATAGTCAGTGCACCAAACTTACAAGGGACACCAACTTCATATCATTAAGCATGTTCAAGAAACACAAGCATATTTGGAACTAATTCCACAATTCAAAGAGCACACATACTTCATCACTTTCATTTCATTTATGGAGGAACTACCTTCTCCAACATTAGACATCCTCATCACATCATCTAAAGGCTCATGTAATAACCTTCAAATCACACATTAGCATATAGACATAACAACTTTGAGGAAATTAAGCAAATAGCTTTAGCTACACATTGATATGATAAATGTAGATTTAACTAGCAATCTTCTCATGAAGCTATGATATCATCAAGAGCATGCACAACATTGTACCACCAAAGGCACTCATAATCATAAGGAGAAAATCACCTTATACTAATATGCAAGACTCCATAAAAAAACCAAACTACTAATGATTTTGGTCTCAAGCTTGAGTAAGAATAGAAGAACAAGGTAAGGATATCAACTACCTTACTACTCCACATATTCTCCCCCACCTAGGGTAAACCCCTCTAAAGCAAATCAAAACAATCAGAAGGAGAATAGGAATCACCAAGGACTTCATTCCGAATTAGCTCCTTCTTTAGCTTGAAGTGCATTGAAACGATTCTTCGTTGGAGCATTAGGATCCTACCAAATTGTTGCTTCCCATAATAAATACACCTAGTCCTCTCAAAATCATAACCATCTCCTTGAGAATTTTTGTTGGAAACCCTATCCTTGTTCCCCATTAAACAGTCTTGTCTATAGAACCTCTTCTTGGACTTAGGTTTACTTGGTTCATCCGACCTTGGCCTTTTTTCCATCTTTATTCATCTTCCTAAGCTTGATCTCCTCAATTTTTTGAGAATACACCATGAGCCTAATATATCCATATCATTATGGAGCATTTTTGTACAACACTCTTATTCATTCAAGCCCTAGAGTTGGCTACCAAAGTTGGGGCATACTTAGAGTGTTGGGGTGAATTTTAGATATTACACCTTCACACTCATTCCCCCTTGACGAAGGTTCATGAATACTACCGATTTCTCTCCCTCAACTCTATGGAGAAAACCTATCAAGAAAAGCTATCTTGAACACTTCCAAATCTACCAGACCTAACCTTATGGGTCTCTTATGCATCCATTGTTTAAACCACACTTGAGCCACATCCTTAGTTGGTAAGCGGCTAGTTCCTCCTTTTCACTAGGATTCACACCCATAGAATCCACCACCTTGAACACCTCATCTATAAAGTGTTGTGGATCTTCATCCACCTTAGTACAATAGAAAGTAGGATGGTTTATCCTCGTAAAATCTCGGATTCTAGAAGCGGGAGTACTTGCATTTGGTTGAGGTCCAAGTCCTACTTTATCTTGGACTATCACATGGTTAGTGGCACCTTGAGCTTGAGTGGCCATGAGTTGGGTCAAAGCTTGAAAATCAGCCCTTATATCCATATTGGACATATCCCCCTCAACATTGGGACTTGGGGCACTTGAGGCACTTGAGGGGGGAACCACCTCATTCACATCCTCTTGGTCAACTATAGGGAATTGATCACCACGGGGAGGAATCCTCCCATTAGCTAATCGTCCCTCCTCCCTTCTAGCAGGTGTTCTCATTGTATTCATGTCCTATAAACACAAGAGAAGAGGTTGAGAAAAGAAACTTATAGAACTCAACTCTGAGGCAAGACACTAGAGTAATGAAGGAAGTGAAACTTCTATTGCCTTATAGCCTCTAACTCATTCATGTGTCGCAGCTCACACAGATGAACAAGACTTTACTACACATGTCTTGTGAGACTTTGGACCCTAAAGTATTTCCAAAATTATTATGATTTGATACCATATTTTTCACAACCCACAATTGTACCCTAGAATGAAAGAGCACTCTTGATTTTCCACATGGCGTACTCACCTCACATAGTTCTTGCAGAAGCCTCTTAGCTATCATTCATTAGATAAGTATGAAAAGTAGTGGAGAATTATAACTTTTAATATATATATATATATATATATATATATATAAGAAAATATTTTATAAAAGACTAAAGAAAAATTCTTGTCGTCACAAGCCGAGATAAAGACACATCTTAAATATCTTGAGTCATGTATGTTTACATAGAAAGAAATACATAATAAGTCTTAAGAGAAGAAACTAAAAAAACATAGACTATGTCCTCGAATATATGAGTACATACCAATCTTGAGAGAGTCTGGGATATCCACCTTCTGTATCTCTTCTTGTGTATCTATTTTTTCTGGTATTATCATATCTCTAGTTAAACCTATCTTAATAACTTGTATTGTAGGTTTAATTTCTTCATATAGTATCTCTGCTGTTGCTGAGTAGAACTTTATATAAAATAAAGTTCCTTTTGTTAGTCTTTTATATTGCAGAAATGCCTTATGTAGCTCAGGTATTTTAGCTACTTTGTCTCCTGTAATAGTATATACTGTGCTTATAAGTCCGTAATTGTAGCAAGTTGCTACTAGGTTTGGATTCGTTCCTGGTTGTGCAATTAGTTTATTGTATCCTTGTAGATGTTGGGTTATGTAGTCTTGTTCAGGGTTTCTCGTATTTTTGGCTTTAGGGTTTTTGTTTAGAAAAGTCTGTACTTTGTATATGTTTTCTATATACATTCTGGTAATGTGGTTATATGTTTGTTTATCTGAATCTAGGCTGGCTTTGTAGGTATTTACTTGTGGTGGTATGAATATATCTTTCTGGGTATTTTGAGGAGTATATGGTTTTGAGAATAACTTATTCAAGTTTGTATTTGTGTATTTTATTTTAGTCTCCTCCTTTTTTGTAGGTTGTCCCGCTGTAGATGTGCTGGTTGTAGCTGCATTTAAACAAATGTTATGGGTTTTAAGGAGTTTCCCATCATCTCCTTGAA